GCAATAAAAAAGTGACTTTCATATATCCATGGAATCCCTAAGTAAATATGGAACGGAACTAACAAACTCACACTAATAACACGAAGCTGTGCAATCATATTCTTGTGATAGTGCAACTTAAGATAAAATTTCGAGTGTCATTGTATTTAACTTACATATCACTGTGACTTGATTCTGATGACATGAGTTTACTGATATTATCATACTTCGATATAGTATGCTTCTTAAATGTGTGAAACTGTTCAACTAAGTCATCGGGTAACCATGATAATTTGGACGTATAACACCGAGCAATAACCGTCTGACAACGAAAGATATCCCAACAGCGATATGTACGAAGACAAAATTTCAGCGAATGCATGCCTACGAAGAAACAAAAGTGAGAGCGATAAGCATTTAAGGCTTTGAATTAGAAGGGAAGTCAGCACAAAAGTATTTATGTACTATTTATTTAAGGTATATCATTCCCTATTCATTTAGTTTTGAAACCCTCTAAAGCATCTTTCCTTTGATTGTAGGCACTTCCTCCAATGCGCTCGTTATCATTAGGTGTATCTGCGACAGGTTCCGATAACAGCTTTTGTTCGGGAAGAGACAAAAGGTGAGTGGGCATCCAAATACGTTCATCAGCGACACCAAACAGGGAAAAGTGTTGCAAAATGTGTTCCATCTACTTGGAATTATACTATTTTGATTGGGATTACCTTATCTTTATCAATGTTGTACGTTTTGCTCAAATTATCAGCGCTTTCAGTGCCTGTCTGGTATGACTTCATGAGTTCAACAGCCTGACGCATTGTTAATTTTCCTTTGGGAACTGTTTCTGGGACGATAAAACCAAAATCTTCGTGAGGTGTAGGATAGGGATCAAAAGAAGTAACTTTCTAAGATATCTCCACAATAAGAAATTAAAAATCGTCAAACCTGTGGAAGCTTGCGGGTTGAGTTTTTGACATAGTTCACTCCACTAGGAAGTATGCCCTCAGCAATTGTTTCTGACCTAATTTCAAAGGAATTAATATCCGCATCCAACTTAGGATTGTGTGAAGACAATTTTTCATATCGTTCATCTACTACAACAGCCGTACCAGGATGCTTCGGGGCAGCCTTCGCCACATCCTTGTTTTTTTCCAAATGTCTTAAGGCTCTATTTTCCACATCAAAATTTATAAACGGTCGTTTGATAGACGACAATGCTTTACGAATCAATGCTTTCCACATTAGTTTGTATGACGCGGAAGGTCAGTCAGCAACACTCCAATATCCAATATCGCTTTTACGACCTAGTATAAACTAATTTGATTTCTTTGTGCTCGTCTCTTGATTGTGAGGTATAGATTCCTGATCTTCGGTAGACTCCTGCGTAGCTTGTCCCGCTACTTAACTGTCGTAGATTTGGTTGACTCCAAAAGGAGTAGTGCTCAATAAATTCTAGATAAAAGAATATACGCTTATTAATTCCATTCTTGATGTTGAGGAACGACCTTGGGTCTTCGTTGTTATATATCTGATAAATACAGTTAGCGAAAAGACACTTTTGTGATCTCATTTGGTTCTTCCACCCGTTAGTCGTATGCTATGGTGAAAAGCTCGATAATAATATAACAAAGGGCAAAATATGAACTCAAAAGTGGAAGCTGTCAAATAAAGAAACAGATTATTGAAAAGTGAATCAATGGAAAGAGCAAGAAGAAGAATAATACAAGGAAGACTGTGAGGAATTTAAGAACGTTTTCGTTTGAGAACCACTGATACGATGGAGTGTGTGAGGAGAATGTCACAGACTGGTCTAATTGACGGAATTATCATTCAGACCCTATTCGAGGCTTTCGGTGGATATTCAGTTGCCACGGTTAGTGGCAAACATCCTCAAGGGCGGCAAACTTGTGGAGACAAGGAATGGGAGGACATTCAGGTCTTTGTGCTCTAATGTGCTAGCATTTGTGGGTTTCCTCTAGGGAAACAATAGTGAATTAGCTGCAGAGTGCTTTTTTTGGAGTCATCCCGGTTACTTTAAACCTTATAGGCGATCCTTATATAACCCCTAAGCCAATGGTGGCTAAGGGTGAAAATAATTAATGTCCTCATACGGCTTTTATTCAGCTGGCCAATAGCTTCTGCTATTGACCTACTTTGAACCCTTTCCCACAGACTGGAATCCCTGTTGATTATCGACGAAATGTTCATGTCAAACACAACAAAATGTAGTCGCACACAAGTTTCACGCATCTAATTTTCTATGTATGAAGTGCATCACCGCATATACTCTCACTATACTAGCGAAGTAGTACATACCTGTTTTCCAACTAAGACAAGATTTTATATCGGGTTCGCACTGTGCAGAAGAGATCACTGTCACATAGGGAACAAGTTAGTCGGACCAGTTGAATACCGTTTCCCTGCTCTGTGCTCATTCTTCCGAATTTTTCGGCTTTGTATATTAGCTGTACCTTCCCAACATTTTGTTGTTCTCCAAACCTTTGTGACAACAGTGTTAATGGTAGTCACGCAGCTCAGGTGGCATGGCAGGCTACAAATGAATAACAAAAACATTAAGAGACTTGGAATGGAACCATCTGAGACTCACGAGGACGAGCCTAGTAGAAAATATTGGATACGATGCACCTTGGCATACCGACCCTTATTGAATCATGGGAAGCCAGATAAACTGGAACACACATCCTAGCAATATTTGCAGTCACTCCCCGATATTGCCAGATTTATTGGGCTGTCCTAAGTTTCGTCGAAATCATTCTGCGCTTTATGTAGAATGTAATCACTGTCAAGGTGTTTGCTGATGTGGTCGTCAGTCAGGCTTAACAATACCTATGTTATTATTATTTAAGTCCAAGGAGTGGTAAAGAGCTATTATTAATTGCATCAAGCCAATCTTTCTTCCCTTGGCAGTTTCCCTTCATTTGTGAAGCGCCGAAACAGATTACACAAGGGCGTGCATAGGGTTTCTGAACACCACCACAACCTGTGGGCTTGCCTGAACTGGGTTTCATCAGTACTAATAGGGCTATTGTGACATCACTTTGGGATATACCCATTAATTTTTTGCCTGCTGATTTAGAAACGCTACTATTTCGCTTAATGGTTATGCTCAGAGTGTTGTTTGGTTGTCCGTCAAAGGTGAAACTGAATGTTTCAGCTATTTCTATACTAATGAGATAATGAAAACTTAGACCACTTCAAGTTCATGTCCACCAGAATCTCTTAATCACAGACTAGTTCTGAGTAACTGTAGTATCTTGCGTTGTGGAGACGTTCTATCAGCCTACTCGTAGAAGCGACTTCCATAGGGATACTTGTTCTTTAAAGGCTGTGTATAGGTTTTCCACCAAGTGTATTTGTTTTTTTTTCGGCGATTTTAGGTCTGAGCTTGAATAGGACTGTGTCGTCAGCTAAAGAGACTTTACTTTGGATCTATACGACACGAAGATGCAGAATATATGTAACACATCTGCATGGAACAGGTTTACTTAAGATTTTCCGAAGTATGGTAATACTGTCATTGTTACTATTTCATAGAAGACTGTTATCAGTCGCGCTATATTCTGCGTATCCTCTATTACACAGCAATTTTCAGCAAGAATCTGATTTTGCTATCAATGGAGCATTCATCTATTACAAGCCAGTAACGCCTTCTTGATTCTATCTCTCCAGCTTAAGCAAAGCCAGTAATACCCTGAGGCTCTCTATCATAGTTTTCCTTTGAAGGTCTAGCGTGATTACTCTCCATATATATCTAACTCTATGCCATGATTTTCCTGATGTTAGGAATTGACTGTTCTGACATTATCTCGTTCGCGATGCCGGTACCGTGTTTGTATTTCTCATTAAAGGATCACTGCCTTAAGTCCATTGTTTGACCGCCTTCAGTTTTTATACTTGAATAGTGACTGTTATCTTCACGCCTATCATGGAATTTGAACACGTCACATGGAGACGAGAACAAATTCCTGAGACAGCTGGTAAGGCCTTGGTAAGCTGCAGAAGGAACTGTTACTAGTTGGCCACCCAACACGGCGTTGGTAAGGTAGGATCTTAATTGGCTGCGACTGGAAAATGGGTATTTGCTCAGCTACCCTAGAGAACTACTACAAAGTGAAGCAGATAGGAAAACGCTAGTTAGAGAAACAAAAGACCTCATCACGCCTTGGGGTGTGCTTTACTGCGCATACAAAAAATAAGCAGTTGGCACATTTGATTACAAAACGTCACTGCATGTTCTCCGTTACTGTTCTCATGAACTCGGACTTCCGACAAATTCCTGTGGTCTGGAAAAGAAGAAGCAAAACCAATGGCACAAGCTTTATGTGCAAACCCATAATGGCGAAAACTACAGCTCCATCTGTGGAGACTTTTAAGCGGAAGCTGGACAATCATGCAGAAATGCATGGTTTGTGTCTCAATGGCTTACCCTCTTAAAATTTGAAACCACATTGTCAATGGATAAGCATGCAAGCTAAATCCCCACGACCCGTCCTATCTTCTCCCACTGTACCGACTACTCTATCTTTTCTTTCTTTCTTTATAATTTCACCTTTATTATTTCACTTATCTCAACCTATATTATCTACACTACAACCTATTATTATTACTATTCTACTTTTATGACTATACCGAACGACCAACGGGTGTTAGGTCAAACTCCATTCACGGCAGCAGCTGAGTCCTAACATACTGCACACTACAAACCACAATCTTGACCAATCCTCGCACCACTCCTCGTGGAGTCTACCAGAGCTAAAGCAGTCGAGTGGCGGGATTTACTACGCATAAGTTCACCGAAGATCTGGAACCTCTACCTTACAATCAAGAAGCGAGCTCAAAGAAATCACTGGTTTATACTAGCTCGTAATCAGGATATTGGATATTGGATATCTCATAATTGACTATATAAAACAGTGTCAATTTTGGCTGATGTAGGTTCCAATTTTAACTCTACAACTGAATGCTGACCAACCTTCCAAATCCTGACCACGCGGATAAGGTAACTGAGCGTGCGTTGTCAAATGTAAAAGCTCTACACGACGTGGTTAAAACCATCGGAGTTACGGCAATGAGACCTCAGTTAGGTGTGACTAAGCTTGCGAACGTGAAAATTTCAGTTGGCATTTTGCACTTACTTTCTAACGGGCAGGAGCAAACGCGATGTCAATGGCGCTTATGTGAGTACCGGTTAATCGTGAGTGTACTGTACAAGTTATGCATAAGGCCCTTACTTGAATTTTGTCCTCCTGTCATGGACAGCGTTTCCGTAAAAGACAGGTGCAAATCGGAAAGCCTACAAAGGGCGTTTACTCAACGTGTAGTAGGTGAAAATCTTTGCATTTCCTACTACGACAGATGTAACATATTTGACTTGGAACCCTTATGGGTTAGACGACTGAAGTTTAACCTAAAAATCACATTTAGGATCGCTAAAGGGCTTATATATTTCCCCCACAATGACTTTACTTTTAGTTCACCTAAGAAATACAACCTCAGAAATGAATCTTCATCTTTTGAAGTGCCCCGCTGTCATACAAAGTACAGATCAAATTCTTTCACTGTCAGATACCGCTGCATTTGGAACCGTCTGCCAACTGCAATTAGAAACGGTCCTACCCCAAAAACCTTCTCATCTCTGCTGAACAAATATTTTATCAACACCGGGTTAGAAGGCGTATGTGACAGACTAAAAATCACAGATCTAATGCGGCACTCCTCTGACCCTCACTGTTAGCTCCCGAAATCTGTGATCTCTATGTTTGACTCTACTTTCACTATGATTGTTTTCACAACCTCAGTCACCTATTCTCAATCAGCCTTAAATTTCAATTATTTCTTCATTCAAATATTAAAAAAACTTTTTTTGCATATATCACTGATAACATGGTATTATGAGTATTTCAGCATGCTAAGAGTTCAGTCTCAAGTTCCAGATGCAAATCAACTGAAGACGACTGGTATTAAAATGTCTCTGGAGACTGCCTAATGCTACATGTTAGCACTGTCTGCCTATACGGAAATTAAGGCCCGAATGTTGGTAGTCTAAATAATCAACTATACGGTGAGTCCTAAATAGTAATGAATCCTATCTTACTGTTCTATAACTATAATCTTGTGCAGTCGAATCTTTCGGAACAAAATATTACAACTTACTACTACTTATATGTTTAATGCTGCACGATTATGCACTGTTTTCCGAAATAACATTTGTTTATATCTAAAATGTAGACTCTGATAGTCTATTTTCCTTATACTTTTATTATTGTTCCTCTCCAAAATGCTGTAACAGATGAAACATACATGATGGTCTTCTGGAAGTAGTCACTCATGCCATGA